GGGACTTGGAGCCCCGCCCCATCTGTGCAGTTTCCTGAGTGGAGCCCGGGCTGCTTCTCTGACTTCTGCAGGTTGGGTTCTAGGCTGGATGGATCCTTGGTTCTGGAGTGTTGTTGGATGAAAGCAGTGCGGGTGTCCTAACAAATTAAGAAAAGCACAGTGCCTATTGGTAACTTTTAATTCAGATGATGTTCTTATTGCCAACTTAAATTTTACTTTTTGGGATTTAGTGATAAGGAAATGATAGCTAGCAAGGTCTAATTATCTCCTTGACTTGAGACATAAGATAAAAAGAAAAGGGTAAGATGGAAATGAATAGGTGATTCCGTCATTCACCCTTCCACCAATACTTTGTTCATGGCTGGCTGGAAGGTGAGCACCTGCCCTCAGGGCTGATATAGTCTAGTATGGTGCTCATTCAGCGGCGGTCCCTGCATGGGCATCATCTGTATGGTGTCTTGTTTCTGAGACAGGGTCTTGCTGCATAGCATAGGCTGGCCTTGAAGTTGGGTCATAATCCTCCTGCCTCAGCCTCAGCCTCCCTGCTGCTGGGATTACAACGCCCAGCAGTGGGTGCTCCTTGGAGTTCAGAATTTCAGGACTCTGTACTGTATGTAGTTTAATAAGATCGCCTGTGATTTATGTGCTTAATACGATTTATAAAAACTGGTTGAGTAGGTAGAAAAATTAATGACTACAGTGATCACAGGAGACACCATGAGGAAGGCTCAAGAACCAGGGATGTGCTGATTTTTAAAGTTTATTTATTTGGAATTGTATTTTCATCTCGGGACATGTTTTGTCCTTGGTCTTTGTGTATCAGAAGATCCAGGCAGGTGGTGATCAGATTAAGACCGTCTCACCTCAGCCTCTCGGACTGCGGACGCTTCTCCGGTTGAGCTCAGTGTAGTTTTGTCTCCTGGGTTAGGTCTGCGGTCAGGCCTCTGCTGGTCCTTGCACTCTGTCAGCGGCGACATCGGTGTGCTCCACCTCGGGACTGAGGGCGGGCGGGAGCTGCCACCTGGCCCCAGAATCGAGTGATCCCAGGGGAGCCGAGCTGGGCGCCCGACCTGGTGGAGGCGTGGGGTGAGCCACGTGAGTGTGCACGTTCTGCCTCTCACGCGAGGGGAACGGCGTCACTGTTCCGGGGAAAGGTGCTCAGCTTTACCGAAAAGGCAGCTCTGTTCTTCAACACTGCGGCAGGGCTGAGAGCGACCCAAATACAGGACCGGCTGGAAGGGGCAAATAGCTGTGTCTTGTCTTCCGGGGCCTCTTGCTTGAGTGCAACGGCTTGTTTAATTTTCAGGGGAGGGGAAGCTGGATGAGGGAAGGGGCTTTAGTGTGCTGTGTGTGGGAGTTTGTTTGCTGTGGTCCTGGTGGTAGTTGGATTTTTATTTTTATTTTTTAACCTAGCTCATACTGCTTCCTTTTAGATGCTGAGATAAACTCTCATTGTTAGTGCTTACAAATACATTTATTCACAGGAGGCGACAGTTGGAAAGCCTACTGCATGCTGTCCTACAAGTTGTAGGTCCCTGAGGAACCTGACAAGGGGCGCATGGCTCTGCTCCCTACCTGCGGGACCTGACAGCATAGGCAGCGGCTGTCCTCACTGCTGCGTGTGCCTGTTTCCCCCACTTGCATGTTTGGAAGCCTTCTGCTGTGTCCCCCACTCCCAGCCCGAGACAGCTCCCCAGCTCCCACCATCCACCACTGTTCTGCATTGCTGTCCAAGGCCAGGGCTCAACTGCGCCCTTCTTTCTTTGAGGTTTAGAGGGCAAATGAGGCACAGTGCTCACGTGTGGCCTCTGAGGCCCAAACCTGAAATGAGCTCCTGCTCTTGGCTGGCATTTGACACAGATGGTGAGTAGAGCACTTCCATGCCTGACTGGTGGGAGTTCGTCTAATCCTGTATTCTGCCATGTTTAACAATTTTTATTAAACCAAAACTTTCATTTCTATTAACCTGCTTTTGAAAGATGCTGGTAATAGGTTGAAATACGAAATATCATATCTTTTGGCAAGCACCTTCCAAACCTATCCAATTTATCCCTTTGACTCTTACTAGGAACATAAATAAATCTTTCCAAGTTAATGGATATTTGAGCCAGGAAACTGATTCTAGAACTTTCTTTGGTAATAGAGCCTTGTAGTTTTTATAGGTAACTTTAAAACATGTATTATTTAAATTATTCTTCAAATAATATGATTTCTTTGTCTCTCTTCAGTAGTGATGCGTTAACCCTCAAATTCTAAGAACTGAATAGAAAAGAGGCAGTCAATTGCCAGCTTGGTCTAAATCCACCAGAGGGGTCCTTTTCCAGCCATTTTAACCCTTGGGTTTCTGTCACACAAGTAGAGGACAAGGGTGCTGCCCAGGAGGCAGCTGTGACAAAACTCTCCTTCCATAGCGGTGCATTTCATTCTCTTAAGACTCCACGGAGCAGATCGTTTAAGCAAACTTGTTTGTCTGATTTCTCGGGCAGTGCAGAGTGGGTGGAGGCAGCAGTTACTGGCACATGTGAGGACAGCAGAAGCTGGAGTGTGACAGCCTGATGGCGGAGGGGAGATGGGCGAGCCCAGCACAGGGAGGGACACGGTGGAAATCTGTTCAGCATATCTGTGTGAGAGGCTGGGGAGGAGTGTGCTCTACTGTAGTAGACATTCCGAGGAAAATGGTGACATTAGGTTGCTTTGTTCCTGTGTAAGTTAGAGCTGAAGTTATTTGAAAAAAGCGACTCTCCCCTAAAAGTAGGGACAGTGCACAGCCAGAGTATCGTGTAGACTGGCAACACCTCACACGAAGGGCATGGTCCACTGCGCCCGCCGTCCTGCTGTAGGGTGTGTGTGTGTGTGTGTGTGTGCACCTCTTGTGCTGAGAAGCTGAGATCTGAAATGTGTGGCTTGTCATAGTTGTTAAAAACTGCCCGAATGAATGCCGTAAGTCCTCAGGCAGCCCTGAGGATCTCAGGGTCCGCTAACCTAAAAGAAGTCCGTATCTGACATGATTTAAACCGTTGTATGCTCTCTTGCCCCAGTTGCCATTCTAATCCAGTTAGGAAAGTACTTGATGTCTTTGACTTTCTTGTATATGAATGAAGATTTAATAATCAAGACCCAACATAACAGAATGGGTGCTAGAAAAAGTAGTCAGGATTGTGCAGAGATATCACTAAGGTCTTGTGATTCATGGGAGCAGTTTCTGGAAGCCCAGAGTTTGTCTATTTTTTGGGTTTAATTTTTTTTTCAGATAACTTCAGCTAGTTTTTAAAGAATAGAAAATAGTAATAGATAACCAAATCCAAATTATTGGTCTAGTCTCTGAATGAATTCGCAGTGAATTTTCCTCGAGTGCCTCCATGTTATCACAAAGCTTAGATATCTGCAAATTAAAACTGCTGCAGCAGGGAGGAGAGAATCATGTTTGGAGTCCACGGATTCTTAGAGCAGCGGGGCTACTGAGCAGGTCTGTGAACCTCTGAGCTGGTATATGGCAGTGTACTGTTGGTCCTGTCTAAGTATTTACTGGTGAGATTAAAAAGATGTTTGATTTTATATTTTCAGATTCTCAGGCGGAGCCTTCAGTTAGAAAGAATATCCCAGTTGCATCAAACTTGACGTGAGCCACTGGTGTTACGCGTAAGCGTGTTATCTTTGCCCATAGGCCAAGCCCGGGTAGACACGATGTTCCACTGTGAGAGCTGACATGGGCCCAGGGCGCTGCTGCGAGGCTGGCGTCCCCAGGACGTGGAGGCCTGCTGACCCCAGTGCCGCCCCACCCAACCTGCTCTCTTTCCCCATCCCTGACTCTGTGTGGCATGGGGAGTGCACAGACTTTCTCTGGGCCAGAGTCTCCTCTGTAACTGGAGAGGCTTAGACTACATGGTCTCTTGAGAACCTTTTAGCTTTTAATTGAGTCCGAATCGGTGTCCTTTGAACATTTTTGTCGCTTCGTCTTTCAGCCCCAGTGCCTGTTCTGTGTTGAGTTGTCTGAGTGGGCCGTCCACTGGGATTTCCTTCCTACATATATTCCTGTTCCAATAGGCTTGTGGAACAGTTTTCTTACAATCTTAGTGAATTGGAGCATGATTTGAAATCTTGCTTTTATAACTTGCAATCAAAGTTTATTTTCAGTTGACTTTGTTAGTTTGGATATATTTGATGTCAAGAAAATCCAAGCGCAAAGCACCTTGTCTACTTGCCTTACTCTGAGTTACAATTTGGGGAGGAGGGTGCTGACCCCAGTCTCTGATGGAAAGTTCAGGGACTCTTAACATCCCGCGGCCATGGAACTACGTTGGCCTGGGGGGAAATACAGCGGCAAGTGCAAGCAACGTAGGGCTCCAGGATATTGGGCTTTGGAGGCTCAGGGCTGGACCTTTCACCTCATTGCATTCAGCACGGGCTTCCTCATAGGACTGATCATTCAAAGTCTGAGAGGAAGAAGCCCCAGGGGCCTGGCAGCGAGGTCTATGGGGTACGCTCTGACTGGTAGTGGCAGGCAGACAGACGACTGACAACAGGTGCAAGCATGGCTGCGTTTCACCTGTGCTGAAAGCGGAGCTTGAAGGAAGAGCCAGGTCGCTTTATTCCCTTGGGAAGCATACTCCTCAGGCGATGCCCTTTCCAAATCCACCTAGGACTTGTCTGTATGTATTGCAGAAAGCTGGCTCTCAGAGTCACACTTTCAGAAGTATAATCTGATAATTAATAATCACGTTCTTCTTGTTGTTTTTTTTTAAAGTCCCCAGACGTCTGTATTCCGCACAGACTTGCTTTTCCACCGTCTCGCTAGAGTTCAGAAGTTTGAGCTGCCCTGACAGAGGCGGGGCCCTCTGTCTCCAATGAGGCGTCTTCGGTGGCGGCCCAGCCTATCGCCTTCCGCCCACGCTCCTCTGTAATCCAAGCAATAGCCACGCAGCCTGTTTTATTGTTTGTGGAGTCCTGCGGCTCCTGAGAGCTTGCTTCCCAGCCTCCAGAGAGGGCAAGTGGGCGGTTTATGATCCAGCGCTCTGCCGGGACGAGTGAGCTGAACCCTTTGATTTCTCCTGAGTAACCAGTGTGGGTGAACTTTAAACTGGGGGTCTGCTTGATGCTGGTTCTTTATCTGCAGGGCGAGGGTTACCTCCCTCTGCGCCCAGGCGGCTGGCTGTGTGCCCCGGTGGGGAGAGATGCCTGGGGGAGGCATAGGATTACAGTTTGGGATGGCAGGCACACCCCGAAGAGACCGAGTGCCTTGCTTCTGCTCTTCACAAAGTCCTGACAAGTGTGCCTGAAATGAACACCGCGCTCTGTTTTTAAAACTGCACTGATTTTTATTTTTTATCTTTTGGTTGTGAAATGTCCCAGACACAGAAACTGAGTACCACCATGTGGCTAGGGTAAAACTTTTTTTAAAAAATGCCCCCGTCCCTCAATGTTCCTCTTCGTTTTCATCGGGTGACACGAAGCAGCCTTTCGCATAAGGCAGTGCCTGACCCTCAACATTGTCTGAATAAGTGGGAAGGAGCCGGCTTCTCCGAGAACCTGGGCCAATTTAAAGACCAGAGCTTTGTGTCTGTTGGGCTGCCCTTTGTCTCTAGCGGATTTTGATGTGAAAGAAGATGAAAAAGGAAGGTTCTTCGGGTTCCTTCAGACTCAAGGCCAATTCAGGTTCGCTCTCACGGGCTGTGAGTTGGATAAATTTCTCCTCCTTGTCCAGGCAGACAAAGAGGCTGTTCCGCAGCGATGGAGAGCTGTCGGTGTGTGGGCAGCAGGTGGACGCAGACGAGAACTGGGTGTACAGGACGCAGCCCCGAAAAGGTGACTTGATTTTTTTTTTTTTCTTAAATCTTTAAAAGAGTTCGTTGTGTGGAATTCTTTGTTTCTGTCGCTGATCTCCGGTCACGAGTTTTGCTCCATTAAGAATTTCCTTTTGGTTTGTTTTCACCTTGGGATTCCGTGTCATTCATTCATTTTCATGTGTATACGATCGTGTCCTTCCAAGAAGGACAAATGAGCTGTTATTCGCCAGGTGTCTGTTGCACGTGCTCATGTGACTTGTGCAGGTAAAGTTCAGTGAAAAACCACCCCCCAGAGGGGATCTTCTGATCTTACAGACTGAGGTTAGGCTGGGCGCTCTTTTCTGCACCTTCACGGAGAATCTTTGGAATCATGGATAGTCTTTTTGTTTGCATCTTCCTTCTAAGAAGATTAACGAGTCACAGGAATGCTTGAATTAGACAGGTGCTGGATGTGACTCGGGGAGGAATGAACACACAAGGCGCTTTTACCTTTGTTAGCTTGGCCACAGAGAGTTTTTGGGTTTCTGTCAAGCCCTCTTTCAGACTAGTGTTGATCTCTGTTCTGAGGGTTAGGGTATTCTGCCTCCCTCGAAGGTAAGGAAAATGTTAGTCCTGCTGGGAGAGAGGGAAAGAGTTCAATATTTTTAGACACCTTTTGTTTTTTATGTTTGGATTTTCTGAGTTCTTCCTCTTAGCATGCTTGCTGTAGGCACTGAGCTGTTAAACTCTAAAATGGTTTCTCCACTCAGCACAGTGCCAGAGCCCAGCGGGGAAGCATTCTTCACGTCTTAAAAAGGAGTGGGGTCCAGAAGTTCCCAGTGGCCCTGATTTCCCTGTTTATCACATTCTTCCTGTGTCAAAAGAAACCTTGCAGGAATCTCTCAGACCCATTCTTCCCCCACTTTTGGGAAACAGAACTGCTGGGATGTGAGAGAATCAGCTAAGCTGGACGTGTGCTTAGAGGTGCTGGGTGGAAGGAGAGTAAGGTGCAGCCTCCTTTAGGAGTGATGTGTGTTACACCGTCCGTGCCTGCCGGCTAAGTATGGCACAGGAGGGACCAGTTAATGGTCTTTGAAGATGTCACTTGTTCAGTATGTCAACAAGGAGGTCAGCAGTGGTCTACTGATACTGAACTCAAAAACATGGCTTTTTAAAGTTCAGTTGCTGCATAATTGCCAGGCGTGGAAGAGGCATTTGTGCTTTCTGGCTGGAGCTGTGTAGTTCAGTAAGTCTGTGAACTTTACTTTTCTAAATCAGGAATAAGCTGTGGTTTTGGTAAATGGTTGGATTGTGATGTTTGAAGGGTGAATATAGTGGTGCTGTGGCTGCGGGAGGGTGTAGCTTTGATTCCTTTGGCTTTGGCTGAAGGGTGCTTCTTACGACCTGTTTTGCTTGAAATCAACCGCTGTCAAGTTTCTCTGATGTGCCCTGTGTACCTGGGAGCAAACACCTTGAGGACTTTCATCGTGGACAGTCCATCCAAATGAGCAATACAGGGAAAGAGACGTGTGTGTGTGTGTGTGTGTGTGTGTGTGTGTGTGTGTGTGTGTGTGTGTGTTCATTTTAGTTGGGAAATGAAGCAAGTACTGTACACTTGACTTGTAGAAAATAAAGAAGTCATTGTAAAGAACAGGGCAACTTGTAAAGGGCAGGGAGGACTTGTTTATATAACAATACAAAAGACTATGCCTTTTATCTCTTCATGTAACAGGGGATATAGTACCTCATGAAGATAAATGGAGACATAACAGAATATGTAAATTTCTATGGTTCTTCAAAATAAATGAGCATGAGTAAGGACCCCTTTGACATAGGGAATTAGGGGGAATCCTTAAAAGCTACCTGTGTATCAAAATCGTCAGTGTTATGCTCTGCTTTCACATGTGACTCACAGTAGCGAATCGGCTGCCACCTCTGCCATGCTGTCCCAGGGGTGTGGTGTAACAGTTGGTTTTTATTCCACAGCTACTTTCCTTTGGAGACATGCAAAAGTGACATTTGTTTACACTAGTGAATCAAAAGAGGAAAAGTCTCTAAGAAAAATGATGCAGACTGCAGTTTTTTCCTTAGGAGCATTAGGCAAATCGAGGCTGTAGCAGGGATTACTGGTCAGGCTGAGAATGCCCAGTAGTACATTAGCGTTTGTTTGCAGATGCGCTTGCTCCGAAGACACATGGGTCTTATGTGAATGTGTAGCATCTTAGATCTGGCGGCCTGGACCACATGCAAACAAATCCACTTTTCTTTTAGTGTAGCCCATACTCTCCCTACCTTATATGAACTTCTTTTTTATTTACATAGGCCACTGACCTCCCCACCTCCTATCAGGCCTGACAGCTAGAGCTGGGGAGACTGTAGCCTAACAAGTTGGCCTTGCACTTTTGTAGGTCTGGTCTGTGAGAAGACTGGACCTGCAGCCTCCTGACTCCCCTCCCATACCAGAAGCTGCTGCAAGGCTGGGCTGCTTATCTGTTACAGAACCACACTCTCCAGGTAATACTGCCTTCATGATCAGCCCCTGAGTCCCTGGGATCAGGGTGATACTGTGTTGTAAAGATACGTGTTCATTTTATAAAATAGAAGGGCACCCCATAGCCCCAGAACTGGGGATAGAACCCAGGGCCTTCACACTGGAATTTTATCCACAATCCTTTTAACCATTTTTATTTGGAGGCAGGGTCTCTTTAAGTTGCTAAGTTGCCCAGGCTAGACTTGAAACTGTGATCCTCCTGCCTCAGCCTCCGAGAGTGCTGGGATGATAGACGTGTGCCACTACCCCCGGCCCTGGAGTTTTCTAATAGTGAATTTCTATGTTGGGTTGCTTATCAGTAACATCACAATAAAAATTTTAAAGTGGTTTTTTTTAAATTAGTATATGTTTGTGATATAATAATTATATTTGTTTTTGGGAAAATATATATATTCTTAATCATTTTTGATCGTCTTTTCCTCCCTCTCTACCCCCTTCTCTCTATGCCTGAAACCCCTCCCCCATCTGTTCTTGTACATGTCTGTAGGTACAACAAAACTATAGATTTATAATTTGACTTTGTCACTTTTGCTAAAGAAACTAATGCTAGCCAGGTGTGGTGGCGCACGCCTATAATCTCAGCACTCGGGAGGCTGAGGCAGGAGGATCGCTGTGAGTTCGAGACCAGCCTGGGCTACATAGTGAGTTCCAGGTCAGTCTCACCTACACAGTGAGACCCTGTCTCAGAAAACCAAAAAAAAAAAAAAACTAATGCTTGAGGTTTCTTAGGAGATTCTTTTTATAAGGTTAGAAGGGACTATTATGCATCTTCCTAAAGACTACTTTTCCTGAGTTTAAAATATTATCAGAAGACATGTATTGATATGACCATGTCCAAGGCAATCACCAGCAAATGCTTATACTTTTCTTTTTTTATAGTGCGAGCTTCAGACTTCTCTTACATTAAAGCTTGTACTCAGGGAGGCAAGAACAAGTTGAGTAACAGCAGTGATCGGTTCTTATATTTTACATGTGATATGAGCCCTACAATAGAAGGTAATGTTTTAACCGTGAAAGTCAAGTATCTTCCGAGTGTTAGTCAATCAGTCATGAGCTCTTCCTTTAGATGTCTGGGTAGTAAAAATGAGGAGTGCAGTCATAGATGAGACGATGCGTATTTCCCAAGTGGAATTGTGAGAGCATTATTGGAGGGATTCTTAACGAGTACAGTGTGCGAGATACAAAGACACAGTGCACAGACCCTGAATTCATAGAATTCATACTTAGAGAATCACGCAAGACATCCAAAGGGGAATTAGGAGAAAAAAAAAAAAAAGGATAATTGTGAAAAAGTGTAACCTGAATGCCTCGGATGAACATTTTCATATTCCGCCTGGCTTTCTGGCTGTTAGACCATATTTAATGAGCGCTCCTTTCCAGCACTATAGAACGTTCTCAGGGAAAACTAATGACTAGTAGTATTTATTGTGCGCTTCCCTTTTTTTGTTTGCTCCAAACCAAAAGCAGTGGAATACTAATGGGGGGCCCTCGCCTTGAGCAGAGCATATCCTGTTGTTTCCCGGGCTCTGCATCTATCAGGGCAGAGGCGTGACTGATGGTCCTGGTATTGGCAGGTCCCAGGAGCCTCCGGATAACCGCCGCGCCAAGCTTTGTTTGAAGCAATGTCACCATTCTCCCCTTTTGGGCTTTATCAGCCAGATTTAGAAACTACCCAGGTTTGACTCATTTGAATTTCAGTGCCTTTCCTTCCCGGGAACTTCGAAAATGGCCAGAGATGGGGCCGGGATGTAGCTCTGTGGTAGAGCACGCACCCAGCATGTGTGAGGAGATCCTGGCCCCAACCCACAGTGCCCCTAAAATAAAGTTTAAATCAGAAAACAAAACAAAAAAGGCCAGAGGATGGCCTTAGTAGGCATCAAGGATAATGGAAATCCATACATCAGATAATCAATTCTTGAACATGGGAGTTGGCTGTAAGTGATTTCATTCCAATTTCTCTCCTAATAAAATAGTTGCAGAAAATAGGATCCTTTTGCACAAGTAGATAAGTGATGGCTTCAGACATTATAATGGAGAAAAATGGCTTACATGACCAAAAAAGCAGCAAGTTCAAGATCTTGTTTCCATATAAATAGCTGTGCTTTTTTTTGTTTTGTAGTAAAATCTTTAAAATTTTCGGACTCAAGACTAGTTTTTTTATGGTATTGAGGAAACCTAAAATATTTGGCAAATATTGCTAAGGTATTCTTCGAAGTTGGTGAGTAAAACTAAAATAAATAAGTTGTATTTATTCTAAGGGTCACTATAAGTCGAGAAAATGGGATATTTTCTTAGCAAAGGAGATAAGCACATTCTCTGTGCAGTATTTTTCTTCTTAACTTCCTACTGAAGTTGACATTCTATGAAAGAGACAAACAGTGAGGGCCACTTAATATTTCGTCTGGACCATTGAGACTGCCTTGTATTAGCCTTTGAATTTTTTTTTTTTTTTTTTTTTTTTAGACTGGGAGTGT